GCATCTATAAACCACAACTGAGCACACAGAATATTGCTCAAATAGTTGGTGTTAATATAGTGCTTAAAACTACAAAGGGCCCGTTTCTCTAATGTTCTCTACTACATGTTTTCTATTACATCTAATAAAAGTGGGTGTAAAGCATTACGATCGCAGTAAGTGGCAATTTTTGTGTTAACATTTACCTATGCTACAGACTTGTGTTGAGGTAGGTATGCTGCACAGAGATGTGAAATGCTGCACTTTCTGAAGGACACTGTAGTGCTAGCTAAAGCTTCTAGCTTGGACACAGTTATGCTTTTGAAAATTTATCCTAACCTGCTCAAGCAGAGGATCTGAGAGCAGAGCTGTATAGAAAAAAAGTCCCCACTGTGGAAAAGGCTATATGAGGAAAATCTGTTTTCTGACTCTGATGCACCTGCGTTAAGATTCTTAGCTAGACTAGGACAGTCAGTAATTCTATCTAGACATGATTAGTCGATACGTGACCCTGGCAGCATATTCCTCACATTGCACAACTGTAAATCACCACGTAGCGTACAAGGTACTGGAGAATGAAGTCCCCTCACTCCAAAACATTGCTATCAAAATAAAATACCAGTCTCACAATTACAATCTGTATACGAAAAGTTTTTCATGCATTCTAAGCATCAAACATGAATTCACTAAAATTATCAAAGACCACAAAGAACTTAATGGTTTTTTAGTGATTGCTGGACCAGTACAACAAAACCAAATTATTAAGCCTTCAATAAGTATAGACAACATAGAGCAGAAATAGGAGATGATGAGATGAAGGAAAATATGTCAGTTCCCAAACCCTGAAACATTGTGTAGTCACTTGTGAACTGGAAGGCAGCCAGACATTCCTACCTTAGAAGACTCCTGTTAAAAGCCATGTATGCTATCAGAATTCACCGCATTTTGGCTACCAGTTGAATACCTAGCACCTGACAAATACTATTTCATTTTAACTTTCCATTATAAAGAAATACACCTGTAACTTTAACTAATAAACAACTTGGTCAATAATGTCTAACATAGGGAGACTGGATCTCAGAGGACATAGTGGAAGACAAATGTTATGCTACAGACAGTGCAGTTGTTGAATAAGCTCCATTAAATACTTGTAATGGGAACCTTGCTCAGGGAATAATTACTGAATAAATATCCCTCCTTGGTGACATCAGCCTTGTATTACTGGTCATGTGCTGCTTTCAGTGTGAAGTGCAGAAGCGAAGTCCTAAGCATTTACGATCATAGGAAAAAACCTTCGTAACACTTCACAGAAGGACAATTTTGTGTCTGAGAGATACACAACTTGTGATCACACAATGTGAATACACAACATGTCTATTTGAACTTGATAAGAATTTCCTTACTTTCTATACTTAATTTTAAACTGTCGTGAGTTCTTTTGGAAGGGATTTGTTCTTTTATGTAATATAAAGATATATTTATAATGGTACTTGCAAACCAACTATGGTAAATGACTGGTATGGAGAAACGGAAGAACCTGCTGTAGATGAACATTTAAACAGCTTTCTATTATGTCAAGGGAACGTGTATGAAAACCCTTTTTCACTTCAGAGATTGAAACCATTTTGAAAACCTTCTCTTAGATTTTAAAGCAAAAACCTGTTCAGCAAGAACTTTGTATAAGAACAATTTTGTAGCATTAGACAAATCTCTTCATTATAACTATTCATATTTATCACAATAAAAAAACAGTAACATAAACTTTTAGTAAAACAGTGTAAAACAGATGGAACCAAAATTTTCATAGAACTTTTGGTATCTCTTGCCTATGTTTAAATGGAATACATTATGTCCTTGGGGAAAAAACCCCAACCAAACACCAAAAAAACCCCTCAAACCAAAAACTGTAATACACCCTGCAATTCTTTTTTTGTAATATACTAACTGTATAGCATACCATTTTTGCTGTGAATGAGCCTGTCTGTATGGAAGTACCAAAAAACTACCCTAACATAGCTGTTCATACTATTCTTGTGAAAGCTCACCATTCTGCCATCTTGCTCATAGTTCCACATACAACTTCCATGGTGCCAACCATATTCTTGTCCAAGCAGATACAGTACAATTAATTATATGGACCTTCTCCCCTCTCTCCAACTCACTGACAGTAAAGAATTAGGGAGTGGGAGAACAGTAGGGCTTAGCAACCTTCACTGTGCTTGCATGTTATCATCATTGTGTTACAATAAAACAGGTAAAATGTTGTAATTTAGAAAAAACCCAACACCTTGAGTTTTCACAAACTGTTGATGAGCTCTGCAGTGATGACCACTAAGGCCTGTGTTGTAGAAGCTTCCTAAAATTACTCAGTATCAATGTACGTTGAGTGCAGTTTTGGAAAACTGTAAATTGAGGCTCTCAAGTTAATCTGCTTTTTTGGGGTCTTTAATTGCTTTTGGTCTATAAAGAGAAGACACAGAATTACTCCCTCTTCAAACAGAGAGAATGATGGTTTGCTTTCTTCTGCTAAAACAAATATTCTTCCTTTCCACAAGGAAGAAAAGATTAAGCAATTCAGGCCACAGAATTTTGTTTTGTGTAGCGAACTCTTAAGGGTGTTTAATCAGCTTATTCATCCGTGCTCTTCCTTCCTAACAGAGGGTCATCTTAAAAGAGCAATCTAATAACAAAGAACACACATCATTTAACTAGTGAATTTTTGCTTACCTACCATAATATGGTCAGCATTGCATTACACAATTTGTATTTCTTCCCAACTGTTGAGTGTGGGAACGGTATTCACTATAATTGTTGTCTCCTTAGGCCTGTATATTTGTATATTCATAAAATTCCTGGTGTGCATCTTCTGTTAAGTGGTGCAAATAGCAATGAAAGCCACAGTAGCTTGTTCAGAGAAAGCTTATTGCACATGCTTTGGTTTCTCCTTTTTTTGAAAGGCAGTGATTTCACAGATTAAAAAAAGAAAGATTACTTTTTCTTGCAGCTTCCTCCAAAACAATCTGTGGGAAAATGCAGCATAAAGCCCTAGTTAAAAAGCCTTCACTGAACCAGGCCAAATGGAAAACCTGTAAACCTGTGAAACTTGTACCCTATCACAAAACTGCTAAGTAAAAAAAAGACAAACAATGAAAACAGAACTAAAAATCTGCTAGGTGTGGCAAAATGGAACTTTTTCAGTGCATGCACAAGAAACTGGGGCTGTAAACAGTTAAGAAGAAAAAAGCCTTTTTGTATTTCACCTTCCTCCTAGGCTGCTGTAATCCGTGCCAACATACTGAGCCTTCTAGTATTACTTTGTTAGGCAGTAGGGTGAGAATGTGACAGTAAAACAGATGACCGGATATCCCATACTAGTTGCACTTAATAGCAACGTATTTTGTTTCAAAGACATGTTATGATAAATCAGCTCTAGGTATTGCAGAAGAGATTGCTAGCACAGATCTCAAAATAAAATGCTGTTATATCTATATGAAATGCAAAGCAATGAAGAAAGAACCAGTGTTTGCCTGCCTACTTTGATCATGTTATTGGTATTATTCAGTCAGCAAAATAACTTGAACTATAGAGTTTTCCTTAAGTGTGTATTTACCTTGTAGATTTGTTAGAAAAAGTCTATACATCAAGTGCTAACACTTCAGTTTTCACAGGTGTTTACTGAGATCACCTAAGGAGGTTCATCTTCTTCCAGTTATATGATGCAGTCAACACATAACCGCACGCAACATTTCATGGGCATCCGAACAAGCCTCCACATGGTATAAGACAGCAGAACTCCATAAATTTTCATGCACAAACCTTAGGGTGACTCTGCTAGTTTATGCTAACTCTCTTGGGACAGTAGG